GAATAAAGGGTTAAAAGAGGCAAAGGCCCGATGTGCTGCTGCTGCTGCTGCTGTTGCTGCTGCTGCTGCTGCTGCTGCTGCACCAAATAGAGGTGAGCCGGATGCATTACCGCATAAACCAATCGAGGGGGCCCCTAGGGGGGTCGCATCCTTCTCTATTCTTCTTTTACTTTCTTCGCTCCACTCAAACATCTTCAAAACCCTCGCAGGTTTATCTGCTGCACTAAACCCTTTCCTTACAGGGCCCTCATATATGCCTTTATTCGGCCCCCCTGGGGCCCCCCCTAAGGGCCCCCCTGAGGGGCCCCCTGAGGGGCCCCCTGGGGCCCCCCCTAAGGGCCCCCCTGAGGGGCCCCCTGAGGGGCCCCCTGAGGGCCCCCCTAAGGGCCCGCCTGGGGGCCCCCCTGAGGGCCCTAAGGGCCCCTCAAATGTGCCTTTAAGGGGCCCCCATGGGGGCCCCCAGGGGGGCCCCCCATTAGGGGCCCCTATAGGAGGTTGATTGAAAGATATTTTGTTGATACGATGCTGACGCTGAAATGCCTCAACTGAAGATAAACCGCATGCACTGCGTACACTCCATAAACCCCGAGATGAAGCCATCTCTTAAACCACAATTAGGGTTTAGGGTTTAGGGTTTAGGGTTTAGGGTTTTGGTGGGGTTTGAAGAGATAGTAAAGTAACAACATATTAAATTTATATCTGCAATTAAAACAGACGAAATACTTTACACACTAAAATAAAACAAGGGGCCCTCTATCAAACCCTAAACCCTAAACCCTTTGGGGCCCTCGGGGGGCCCAAAGGGTTTAGGGTTTAGGGGGGCCCCTAAGAGCGATGATACTTCAGTTTAGAAAAAGTCTTTTAAAATTACTTTTAGGGTTTAGGGTTTAGGGTCTAAAAGGCCTAAACCCTAAAATAAAGGGTTTAGGGTTTAGGGTTTCTAAACCCTAAACCCTAACCCCTAAACCCTAAACCGTCAAACCTGTATTTCGTTCGACACACTGACAGCAATAAGCTCATGCTTGCCCCTAAACCCTAAACCCTAAACCCTAAACCCTAAAGCGAAGCAAACAACTCGATAGGATTCAGCAGCTGCCTTACACACAGGAGCAGCAAAACCAGCAGCAGCAGCAACAGCAGCAACAGCAGCAACAGCAACAGCAGCAAGAGATTTTTGTGTGCATTTTATCTTTTTAATTTAATAATACTTTTATTCTCTTCTCTAATTCTGTGTGTACACTGCAAGCCAAGACACCCCAATGCTCTTCTATATATATATATATATACACATATATATATATATATATATATATATTTATATATATGTATATATATATATATTTACATATATACATATACATAATATGTTTTATATATAGTGTATGTATAGATACGTATATATATAATATATATATTATACATTGTATATGACTTAGTAAACGTATACATATATATATATATACATATATATATAAATATATATATATATATACATATATATATACATATATATAAGCATATATATATGTATGTATATTATATATATATATTATATTATTTTTGTGTTTGTTTTGTTTTCTCGTTTTTTATTTTTGTGGTTTTGTTGCGGTGTTTGCAATTTTAGGGTTTAGAGGAGAAGCTGAGATTAGGGTTTAGGAAAGGCCGTAGGGTCTAGCTAGGGTTTAGGGTTTAGGGTTTAGGGTTTACTTTAGGGTTCAGCGTTTAGGGTTTAGGGTTTAGGGTGTAGGGTTTATGCTTTAGGGTTTACTTTACGGTTTAGGGTATACTTTAGGGTTTAGGGTATATTTTATGGTTTAGGGTTTACTTTAGGGTTTAGGGCTTAGGGTTTAGGGATAACTGTACGGTTTAGGGTTTAGGGTTTTCTTTGGGGTTTATGCTTTAGGGGTTATTTTAGGGTTTAGCTTAGGGGTTAGGGCGTATCTGAAAGCTTTGAATTTAGGGTTTAGATGAGGGTTTACGGTTTAGATAAGGGTTTAGGGTTTAGATGAGGGTTTAGGGTTTAGATGAGGGTTTAGGGTTTATACTTCGGTCTTATCGCTGCTACAACCCCACAAAAAAGGAGACAGAAAGGAGACAGTTAGAGTTGGGGTGTATGCATGCATGCATTTAAATAAAAAAATAATATATCTTCTTATCTGTTCTTCAAGAGATAACAACAAAGACACACAGCAATAAATATAATACAAATTACATGCATATACACTGCAATAAACAATCTAAACAACTCAAAGAAAACATCAAAAACATATATATATATATGTATGTATGTACATATATGTATATATATATATATATATATGTATAATAATAACTATATATAATAGGATGTAATAATAGAAAAAGATATTTAGTAATATAAATTTATTAATAAATTTAATAATAATATAATTTTCTATGCTTTTGCTTTTCATTCAATATGAGGGATAAATATATATATATTATATATATATATATATTTATATATATATATATTTATATA